ACAGCTACAATCACAAAAGACAGGAGGTGAGTGGGAGGAAGAGGAGGGGACAGGGCCCCCCATCCCTAATGTCCCCCAGCAAAGGTGTCTCTGTGGGCCGAGAGCAGGTGCCCCAGGACTTGCCTAGAGCAATAAACACTCAGGGCTCCATGTGGACAGAAGTCTGATTGCCCAGATGGGGCAGCGTTTGAGGCTCAGGGAGTGGACACACCCTTAGGACAGGCGGCATCCTTTACTTCTCAAGCCAACTGAGACACCCATTTCACAGACGAGGAGAGTGAGCTTCATTCAGCCCGTCTGCACATGGCTGGGCTGAGACTCAGGGTCATCCCTGTCTCTCCCCTTAATCACCTCCCACGGCCCAGGAGGGACCTAGTGCCCGCTCACCTGGATGCCCTCAATGCGTTCGGTGACGACATAAGCATGGTGCATGGCCACCAGGGGGACCTTGACTCCTGCCATGCGTCCTATGGCGCCAGCCCACACGCCTGCAGGTGGAGCACATGCTGGTCAGCGATGGCACATCTGGACAGCGCTGCCCACCAGGTGGGCACAACCAGAGGCCAGCTCCTGAGACCAGTCTGCCCTGGCAGTGGCTCTGCAGAGCACATCTGGGCCCAGTCCTCTGCCTCAGGGAGACCATGGCCTGCAGAGCCCACCGCCTCGCACACCTGCACAGTTGACCACGACAGGCGTCCGGATGGGGCCATGTTCAGTCTCCACCGCTGCGACCCGCCGTACCCCAAAGTCATCCGTCCGCACGCGGATGCCGGTCACTGGGCAGTTCTCGATGACCTGGGGGTGAGAGAACTGTTCCCAGTGATGTTTCAGGGCCTCTCAAATCCTGCCCCTACCTCCATGGGAACCAGGGCCAAGGGTATCCCCACAGCAATACCATGGGGCATGAGCAGCACGGGAGTGATCTAGAAGTCCTCCTGGTGTGCCCAGCCACCATCAGCAAGAGGACGAGGACAGCTGAGGGTCCAGGAGTCGAATGAGGCTGGGCACGTCCCCTGCAGAGGGCTTCCCAGAGGAGGAGGCCCAGTAACTAGACCCCGGACAGTGGCCCTGAGTACCAGGCTCCAAGGGTGGCATGCCTCGGTACCTGAGCTCCTCGGATGGTGGCAGCCCGGGCGAGCGTGGAGCAAGTGCCAGCAGGGTCCATGGTCCCGTCGTGCGGCACATAGAGGGTCCCGTAGAGGTCGTCCACATGCATCAGTGGGTACAGTGCCTTGGTCTCTGCTGGGCTCAGCACGTGAGACTCCACGCCATAGGCCTTCCCCAGCTGGGGACCCGAAAGAAGTAACCAGGTGGTGACAAGCCACTGAGGTCCTGTCTCCTCCTCTCCAGACCTCGCAGGCCCCTCCAGCCCCACTCACTCCTGGGAGCCTTGATTGTCACCAAAGCCCCACACGCCCTGTCCCCTGTGTGAGCTACAATACACTCAACGCCCTTTCAAAGATGGGGTGTGATGGCTCCCTGGAGGAGCCTTGGTGGCACAGGGCTTAGTGCTCGAGAGCTAATTGAAAGGTTGAGAGTTTGAAGCCACCAGCTGCACAGAAGGATCAAAGACCTGCCAACAGCTTACAGCCGAGGACACCATGTGGTCACAAGAGTGGATGGCTCCCAACAGCTGTCTGTGTCATTGATGCAGATATGGATTCAGACCCGGGCCTGGCACCAAGGGCCTCACGTCAGAGTCCAGCAGCTGTCGCCTCACGGTGCTGGGCAAACACTGTGGCTCTTACCAGCTGTAGGACTTTATGACCCAGCGGCCAGGGCTCACTTTGGGTCACCGTGTTGTATTTTGGTCGTTTCAACTACATTTCACACTTTTTCCATAAACCTGCCCCATACTCAACACACTACAGGGCAGGGTTGTTGTTGTGTGCTGTCAAGTCACCTGCAACTCACAGCGACCTTGCGTACAACAGCCCTAAACCCTGCTCTAACCCGTACAGGGCAGACACGACCTTTCTTGCACTGGAATAGAAAACAACACACGTGGCTTGCTGCCATGGGCTCTCTGCTCCCCTGGGAGGGTCTGGGACTGGACCCACAATACCACCAAGGACCAGCGGTGTCCAGTGGCCCTGGCTTGCCGTGACCACTCACCGGGCTGCTTAGGAGGTAAGTCTTTATGGAAGGAGACTCCCCATCTCTTGAGCAGTTAGCTGGGGGATTCAAACTGCTGACTTTTGGGTTGTTATTGTTAGGTGTCATCAAGTCAACTAGAATTCACAGTGACTATGAACAACAGATCTAAACTCCCCATCCTGTGCCATTCCCGTCACCTCTGACGCTTGAACCATTGCTACAGTCTCCACGTCAATCCACGCTGTTGATGGGCTTCCTCTTTCTCTGACCCTCCACCCTTCCCAGCATTTACAAGGACTGGCCGCTTCTGACAAAAGTATGTTGTGATAATGTTTCACATCTTTTCCTCTAACGAGCATACTAACTGGTCATACGTTCTCCAAGACAGATGTGTTTGTTTATTTGGCTGTGCATTGGATATTCCGTACTCTTCTCCAACATCACAACTCAAAGACAAAAGTTCTTCTGATATTCAGTGTCCAACTTTCAGACACACAGGAAGTAACTGAGAAGACCATGGCTTGAATCAGATGCACCTTGGTTTTAAACTGATATCACTGTTTCTTGGCACCTTGGAGAGATCCAGTATATTATATTTTCTCAATGCAACACATCTTTTGATTTTTGACTATTGGTGTCAAGGTGTGGACTGCAGATCCAAGTAAGATTAAATCGTTGACAACTTCAGTCTCCTCTCTGTCTATCATAATGCGTCTATTTGCTCAGTGGAAAGGACTTTTGTTTTCTTGATGCTGAGACATAGTCCATATTGAAGGTCTTAGTGTTTGATCTTTTGCAGCAAGTGTTTCACATCCTCTTTACTTTCAGCAAGCAAGCTTGTATTATTTGCATAGCATAGGTCGCTATGAGTCGAAAACGACTCGACAGCACATAATAACAACAACAGTCTGTTGAGCCTTCTTCTGATCCTGATGCCACATTCTTCCTCATAAAGTCCAGCTTCATGCATTATTTGCTGGTGTAAGATTGAATGGGTGTGGAGAAAGGTTCCAGGAGAAGACACGTATGCCTTTCTTGATTTTAAACCGTGCAGTGTTCCCTTGCTCTGTTTGAACAACAGTTTCTTGGTCTAAGTACAGATTTCTCATTAATACTATCAAGTGTTCTGGAATTCCCATTCTTCTCAATGTTAGTCAAGATTTGTTATGATCCATACAGTCAAATGTCTTTGCATTTCAATAAAAAACAAACAGACATCCTCTGATATTCTCTGTTTTCAGCCAGAAAGAGTACTGAAGTGCAACGACATCAGGCTGGAGACTAAGGTGCGCCTGATCCAGGCTATAGTCTTTGCAATTACGTGCTATGCATCGGAGAGGTGGACTGTGAATAGGGATGATAGAAAGAGAATTGATGCCTTTGAGTTGTGGTGCTGGAGAAGAGTGTTGAATATACCATGGACTGCAAGGAGAACAAACAGGTTGAGGGTCTTCATCTCCTTTGCTGACCCTCCACCCTTCCCAACGTCATGTCCTCCTGCAAATACTAGCCCCTCATAGCAACATGTCCAAAATATGTGAGGCAAAGGCTCATCATTCTGGCCTCCAAAGAGCATCCTGGCTGCACCCTCTCCAAGACATAGCTGTCCATTCATTCTCTTGGTGTCCATGGGATTTTTAGTGCTCTTTTCCAATGCTACAGATCAAAGGCATCAATTATTCTTCTGTTATCCTTATTTATTGTACAGCTCTTACATGCATAGCAAGTAATTGGAAAGACTATGGCCAGAATCAGATGCACTGTAGTCCTCAAACTGACATAGTTACTCCTCAATAATTTTGAGAGGTCCCTAACTGGAAGTGTGAGGATGGCACAGGACAGAACAGGGTTCAGATCTTTGGTTCATATGGTCACTATGAGTCATATTCAACTCGATGGCACCCAACAACAATAACAACAAGTTATTGTACTACTTGTTGGCCAAGTAGATGTTTTCCAAATTTCTTGGCATAGACTGGCGAGCACGTTCAGGTCTGCATCTTTGTTGAAACATGTCAGTTGATGTTCCATCATTCCTGGATTATTTTAATTTTTTTTCTTAATGCCTTCAATGCACCTTAAACATGTTCCTTCATTGCTATTGGTTCTTGATCTAGCACTACTTCCTGAAGTGGTTCCATGTCAATCAATTTGCTTTGGTGCAATAACTGTGTATTCCTTCCATTTTCTTTAGATACTTCCTGAACATTCAAGGTTTTGCTCATAGCAAACATCAGTATTTCAACTTAGGCTTGGATTCCCCCATTCTTTCAGCTTGAGAAATGTTGAATGAATTCTTCTCTTTTTATTTCTGACTCTTTGCACATTTTGCTGTAATACTTTGGTCTGTCCTCCCAAGTTGCCCTTAGAAATCTCCAGTTCATCTCTTTTACTTCACCACTTCTTGCCTTTGTTTTGGCCTCATGACATCCAGTGTAATTTAAAAGTATTTTCTGGCATCTTTTTTGATCTTTTCTTTCTCCACTGTCTGCATAATGACTTTTTGCTTTCTTCATGGATGATAACTTGATGGCATCGCACAACTCATCTGGTCTGTGGTCATTGTTGTTCATTTGTCTCAAACCTAGTGTCTAGGTGGTTTTTTAAAATCAGGTGGGATAGTCTCAAGATCATATTTTAGTTATTGTGGGCTTGTTTTGATTTTCTTCAGCTTCTGTTTGAACTTACACTTGAGCAATAGGAGGTCTGCTCCATAGTCCACATCCAGTCTGATTTTGGCTGCTGATATCGAGCTTCTCCAATGATTCTTTCTACAAATAAAGTCAATCCGATTCCTGCGTAGCCCATTCGGTGAAGTTAGTCACCATTTTTGTTTTTTAAAAAAGGTATTTACATTTTCCATGGCAAACTGTGGTCCCAGTATGAATGGCTGCCAGTTCTTCATCACCTGTTCTCAGTGTGATTGGTTGGACAGGAAGCAAGGAGTATTTGGGAAAAAAAATATGGATTGACTTTTAGCAATGAGAAAAATTTAGAATGTTCCTATCGGCCTCCACAATAAACCTAAGTTGCCTGTAGTGACCTCACAGGTTGGGGAGACATAACACAGACAAGACTCAATCAGGATCCTTCCAAAGGACATTCCTGGTGGAATCGCCCGGACTTCCCTGCCTTTGCTCACCTGGTTGCTGTTCCATTAAATCAAAAGCCCTGGAAGTACCAAACTCGGGATAAAATGTTTGTGTTTATGTTTTCAAGTATAAATAAATTTTGGAGGTCTTTTTTAAAAAGTATTTATGATGAATAAATGACTGATTGTACAAAAAAAAAATCAGTCTTTGATTTTCAGCTTCATTTCTGTCACCGAGCCTGTCATTTCCAACCACCAATCCTTTATTTCCAACTTCTGCAGTCCAGACACCAATTATTATTAATGCACCTTGATTGCATTTTTGGTCAATTTTCAGGCTGCAAAACCTCAATTTCCCCCTCTTTGGCTTTTGATAGGCCCTGCGGGGCTGACTCAGCAACACCACTACTTCCTCCTTCGAGAGACTGCTCGCTTAATGGCATCACAGATGTCACCAAGAGTGGCAACAGCTGCAGCCAATCAATGAGCTATACGACTACTTTCTCTACCAGGAGTCGGCATCTTCCTCCCCAAGTCTGAGAGCCCCAATAAAAGCTGCTTTGCTTATTTTTTGTTTCTGCACCTGTTTTACTTAAAAGCTTTAGCAGTTGATGTGCATATTTGAATAATAGTTGTGTTACTAGGTCTTCCTTGTATGCACATGGATAGTACTCTATCCTTCACTGCACTGCACTTCAGGACAGATCCTGACCTGGTCTTTTTTTACTATGGATACAATCCCTTCACGCTCCATGCAACAGAGAGCATGATTATGTGCATGTGAGTGACTTCCAAGGCTCTAACACGTGGCACCTGACACTCCTAGGGTTGAGTGACATCCCCAGACAAAGATGGCTTCAGCACCTACCAGGTCTGACCTCTTCACATTCGACTGGCCTGCGGGCGGATAGCCAATCTCACATCCTCAGAGGGATAGATGCCCCTCAACCAGCGCAGCAAAGCCAATCGGTCTCTGTGTGGGATTCTGGATAAATGGAGGAACCCTCCGTTCTTCAGAAAGAGCTGCCTTAAACTCAAGTGATGAGTTATGAGAGGAGAGAGCAGAGTGAGGCAACCTTGAGTTCCCAAAGCCAGGGACTGGGGTCCCAGGCATTCTGATAAAGCCCACTGCCCCTAGCTCCCATCCTGGGCCCCCACAGGCATGCTAGCATCCTGCACAGGAGCTCTCGCAGCCAGGTGGTTGAGATGCAGGAGTATGCCCGCCCCATGTCTGGGGATTTGAGGTGCACCCTGGCTGCTTTGACCTAAAATCACCCTCACCCAACACATCCATTGGTGTGGAATTGACCTCAAATCACAGGTTCCTTGTCAGACAGAGTAAAACAGCCCCTGGGGTTTCCAAGGCGGTGATCTTCACTGAAGATTTCTCTAGTGGGTTTGAACCACTAATCTTTTGGTTGGCAGCCAAGTGTGTTAGCCACTATGCCACTGGGGTTCCTACTCCAATAAAGACTCGTTGTCATTGGGTTGGAACTGCCTCACAGCTGATGCCTGACTGAGTCTCCAAGGCTGGAAATCACACAGGAGGAGATAGATCCTTGGTGGATTTGAACCACTAGATGTGCAGGCTTTGTGTCAGCAGCACAGCCTCTATGCCACCAGAGGTCCTACCCCAAATAAACTCCCCTCAACACAAATTCCACAGCCACCAAGCCAGATTCCGCTCATGCGACCTGCCAGCTGGCTCCAGAGGCTCGAAACCTTTACAGGAGCAGGTGAGCCACGTCTCCCCAAGAAGCAGCTGGTGTTCAATGGCAACCTTTCAGGTAGCAGCTCAGTGCTTAACCCTAACTGCCACCAGTGCTCCTTACCCAACACCCAAGTGTCGCCTGAATTCAGGCCCCTCTCCAGCATAAGGTGCCCTCCTGCCTGCCCCCCCAGTCTGGTCCCCAAGCCTAGTGCTGAGCAGACCTGCCCAGGGGCCCCCGTGTGAGGTGAAGGGTCTTAGCTCCCCTTATGGGCCCCGCCTTCCTCCCCCACATCATGTGTGGTCACTGCCATCAGCCCATTGCACAGACAGGAGAACTGAGGGTGGGCAGAGGGCAGGCGGGACCCACCGACATGAGCCGCTTGTACTCGTCCAGCCGCTGCCGGTTGGAGGCAATGAAGAGGCCTCCATTCTGGATCCAGCCTGTGTGCAGCCCAGTCTCCTCCGGCAGGTCATGGTTGACCACACGGCGCGTGTGGGCCAGCAGCTCCACCTCCACGTCGCTGGGCCGCAGCTGCCACAGCAGGCCTGCAGGACAGGACCAGCACCTCAGGGCCCGTGTCAGGGAGGGAGCCCCGTCCTCCGCAGGCCTTGGGAAGCCTGGGAGATTGCCAAGCAGGGAGCATGGAGGCAGAGCTGGGTTGTTGGGTGTCCCAGCCTGGGCAGCTCATGGGTCAACTCAAAAAACCAAACCAGTGCTGCTGAGACACCAGGGACCTTGTGCGACAGAGTGACCCGTCCACAGGCCTCCTGAGGTTGTAACCTCCATGGGAGCAGAGGGCCACATCTTTCTCCATCAGCGCTGCTGGTGGGTTTGAACTGTCAGCCTTTGGGTTAACAGCTAAATGTCTTAACCACAGCACCAGGAGGCCCCCTGACCAAACCTGTGCACTGGCCCAGACCAAACTCAGTGGTCGCAGATGACCTCATCCCATCACCTCGGCAACCCTGGGATGCGGGTCTTCTAGAAATGGAACAAAGGGGGTGAAATACAGTTGAGACTTGCCCAAGTGTACCAAGGTCAGCAGTGAGGCGGGGACCCCAAGCCAGGACAGACTGAAGCCCCAGCCCATGCTGCCCCAGCAGTGAGGACACGGGGGCCCAGGCCATGGTGAGTGTGACATGGAAGGGCAGTGGGAGCCCCGCTGAGCTGGTCCTGAGGGGAGGGCAGTGGTGTGCTGGACCCTGGGCCCAGCTGTCTGTCCTTTTTCTAGCATCTCGGTCATCAGCCTCATCCTGGCCCCACGAACTGCCCAAAGTGGGTGTTACAGAAACGAGCAGGTGCTTCTGGCCACCAGCACACTCTCCTCAAAGGGTCAAGGCAGGAGTCTGCCTCCCTGGCGACACGAGCAGAGAGGCGTGAGATGAGGGCCTCTGATTCAGAGTCACCCCATGTACATAAGACAGGAACCCCGCCTGGTCCGATGCCATCCTCGGTTCACTGTGCTTCACCTCCTGTGGTGTCATCACATCACTGTGCCTACGTGAGGGGCCTCCCTTCCCCTGAGTCCCTGCTTCTGTAAGCCGGAGGTCTTTCTCCAGGGACCCTTCTGATCACACGCCCCAAGCACATACAGGGGGGTCTCCCATCCCTCGAAGGAATGCCCTAGCAGCATCCTTCCTGCTGTGAGCTAGTTGGGGTGAGGACCACAGAAGCAGCAGGTGTGGCCCTGCCCTGTCTGCCCTGCAGCCCCTTCCCCACCTCTTGACCTTGTTGGCCAGTTGGGAGGGATTTCTGCTCGTTCAACAGGCTGGGCACCCAGCTCTGCCCCACCTCAGACCCTCCCTTCCATCCACAGACCTTCGGAAAAATGGGGAGCACATGGCTCCTCAAAACTGCCCTCCCAGCCCGCCTGCACCTTCCCTCACCTAGCCCCTCTGTCTTAGCTGGCCCTCAGCCCTCTCCCCCGCACCCAGGTCCTTACCTGCAGTGTGCCACGTGGTCCCTGAGGTCAGCTGATCCCGCTCCAGCAGGACCACCCCCCTCACGCCCAGTTTGGCCAGGTGGTACAGGGTCTGGCAGCCCAGGCTGCCCCCGCCAATGAGCACCACGTTGGCTTCACTGGGCAGGGGCCTGCTGGGGCCTCGGGAGGAGTCCTGCTCCCTCTTCAAGGTCTGCTGGTAAGGGACACTTTTCTCCGTGGTGGGGCCAGCAGAGCTGCTTAGAGGGCGCGGACCCAGACCCTGGAAGATGATCCACCGAGGGCGGGTGGCCACTACCCGCAGGGCCCAGCTCAGGGAGGCCATGCGGACTCAGCCTGGATGCCTGGGGAGAGGGGACATGGCTGTTGGCGAAAGCCATTGCTGCCCCTTCCCGGTGCCCTCGGTCCTTCATCTGTGCATGCATTCATTCACTGGCTCACTCATTCATTCATTCACTCATTCATTCATTCTTCCCTTTACGTGTCCATTGATTCATTCGACCCCTGTTCCTTTTTGTGCGTTTCTTTCATCGACTCACTCTTGCACATACTCATTTGTCATGTGTCCAGTCACTCAGCCCTTCATCTCTGTTATTCACCCCTTGTTCTGTTTTTCATCCATTTCTTCCCTCATGAATTCTCTGATAATGTGGAGCTCGGTACCCATCGGGCTGTGCTGAGCCCTCAGCCGACTCCAGTCCCAGAGAAGACAGGAGACGTGGTGAGGACGGATCATGCTGGGCACAGCTCCACTTCACAGAACAGGAGACTGAGGCTCGGAGAAGCTCGCTGACGGGACAGCGTGCCTGGCCGAGTGGCGGCACTGGGCTCCTGGCCAGGTCTGTGACCTGGAGCCTCTCACCCGCTCCCTCTCCTGGCCTCCTGGCCTGGAAGCCCGGGGTAGGCTGGTGGAGAGCTTGCACACTGGACAGGGCTTCCCCCACCCCATGACCTTCCACTTGCCTTCTGCCCAGAGGTGGACCCCAAGGCAGGACGGAGGCCCACCCCCAAGGAGCTGAGCATACCTGTGGTCCTGGAGGCTTGTGCCAATCTTCTGGGAGCTCCTAAGGATGGAAGTTCAGCTCAAGGGGGCTGCTCATGGGTGACACACCCCTATGCTGTGTGACCAACACACTGGACAGTCCACCTGGCCTGCACAACCGGTCTGCCCTGTCCCAGAGCTTCCTTCCTCCCTCCGACTCCCCCAGGAGAACACTGCTGGCCAGGAGCCTCCACGTTCCATGCACTGCCCACTGAGCTATTCCGGGCACCCTCAAGGCTGCACTGGCCATGGGAGCACAGCGGCAGCAGGGGCAGCCGGACGCCCTCCCCCAGCTCTCTGGAGGCAGGAATTCTAACCTGGACCAGCTCCCACACCACCACCACCCCGCCCCCGCCCCTTCTCCCCAACTCTCACTCCGCAGGCCTGCAGAGGCCTGGACCAGGAGCTTAGACCAGAGTCAGGAGGGGTAGGGGGAGAGGCCTGGGGAGCTTGGGGCAGGGTGAGGAAGGAGGGCAGGGGAGGCCAGGGGCTTGGGTTCCCTGAAGGGTGTGTGGGCCCCCAGCCACCCAGCTGTTGAATCCTGCAGGCCCAGGCAGAGAAAGAGCCAGATGTCAGGGAAGCTCCGCTGTGTCCAGCCCCGCCCACCTGGGGGAGACCTCAGCCTGCCTGCCCACAGGGTGGACCCAGGCCTGCTCCGTGGCCACAGCACCCCTTGTCTACCAGGCCACCAGTGCGCAGCCAACGTGGTGCCCTCTGCCCCGCTCCTACCAAGAAGGAGCTGAACGGAATTCCCAGCCCCCAGCCACACCCCCCATCCCTGCCAGGCCTCAAACCACCCTGTGTCCCCGCCCAGGATGGGGCGGGAAAACACCACCCACTAGCCTAGCAGAGCGGGACAGGCCATTAACCACTGCGTGACCAGACTGCCCTCACTCATTCTAAACAAGGCTGGCAGGCCTATTTTAGGGCTGCCAGGACCTGCCTGTGCCTTTCTGCTCTGGATGCAGTTAGCCTAGACCAGGGCCAGGGCAGGAAGAACAGTGCAGCAGGAGCCAGGGCCCTGCTCGAGGTGCACGTTTGTGCATGTCCAGGCCTGGGCTCAGGGCCAGAGGTGGGTCAGTGCATGCCAGGTAACCTCCCTCCTGCCTTCTAGACCCCAGGCTTGCCCCTCAGCCAGCCGGCAGCCTGAGGTTCCTGCTTCCACTTGACTTTCAGAGTCACTGGGCGGAGAGGAAGCCAGCACTAGACACCCAGCAAGGAGGGGTAGCAGCCCTGAGCCCTGCACCCCAATCCACATCGAGGTATCTATCACCCCAAGACCTCACAGAGGCACAATTTGGGTGGGGCCAGTCCCCTGAAGCCAAGAAGACAGAGCCTATGGACCTTCCCTGCTGCCAGCTGTCTGTCCTCTGCATTTACCGAGTGCCTACTGTACACACACACTGAGATCCAGGGCCTCAGTGACCACTGGAAATTATAACTCAGGGAGTTTGGGGACAAGGTGACCTTTTTAGCAGGGAGTCCAGGAGAGCTTCTTGGAGGAAGCGGCATTGGCTCCAGGCTGGACTGTGACCTGACCATTTCCAGCCCCCATCACGTCGCACCGAGACCATTGCATAGTCCCCCAGAGGCTAGCTGACCAGCCAGCTGCCTTGGGAGTTGGGGTGGGGAGGAAAAGCCTGGGGCTCTGTGGGCTGGGGGCGGGGTGTAAAGGGGACAGCAGGTCCTGGGCCACATGACATCACTACAGCCCTAGGGCAGTGGCCTCAGGCAGCTCTCTTGCTGCCCCCAAAAACTAACCACAACTGTTACAGAGCTGGCCTTGGCCAAGTGCAGCATGGTCCCTGGACTTTGGACCAGATCGCAGGCTGGGGGACCAGCCCGGCTATGTCACTGCCTGGGACAGGTCTGAGAGGGTTGGAAGCATGCTGGTCTCCCTCGGTCTTGGAATGTGTGTCTAAGGAAGGCTCAGGGGCATCAAGAGGGGGCCCTGCCCACTTGTCCTAATGACTGAGCCTCAGTTTCCCCATACGAGAGGCAGGGACTATACCCCTGTCCAGGCTCTTGTTCTTGAAATGTTCCTGGATTTGTACCTCCAGCAGCCCGTGAAGAACTCCTCGTGCAGGCTGGCCTCCAGGTGAAGTCTCAGATGAGCTGCCTCTGGGTCCCAAGTCCTTTCCCAACCTTTGGCCTCCAAATCAGACAGGGACCTTAGTGGCCACACCTTGGGCCTGGATCACCTCCTGACTCAGCTGGGCCTCCAGGCAGGCTCAGGCCAGCCCTCTCTCCCACCTGCTGGACACGCTCCCAGGGCCAGAGGGAGGTATCTGAGGCCGCCTTCTGACTGGGCGGAAGTCCAGGGCGGAGCATGGGCAGGGTCTGAGGGGGGAGGTTTGTCAACAGAACACAGCCAGTGAAGAGGGGAGAGAGACAGAATAGAACTACAGCCATGGTCGCCAGCAGTGCCTTTGACCCAAAGGGCAGGTGACAGCCACTCCAGGTGCCAGTGTCAATTGGGGACAGGCAGCTGAGTGCTTTATTTTCACATCTGGGGAAGCACCTACCTCAGGACAGATGCTGGCCCTCATGGGGATGAGGCACGAGGGTGCACCCTAGGCAGCTCAGTTCTCGGGCCTGGATTTCTCCTGCCCAGACTTCACTTTTCCAATAAGAACCTTGTGAATTGAGCTGTTCTCTCAAAAGAAGCCCTTGAAGTTATAGCTCCATGTCTGTGACCATGACCTTGTTTGTAAAGAGGGCCTCTGCAGCTGGGAGCTGTGGTGGCCCAGAGACAAGGAACTGTGCTGCCTGCCCGGGGCATGAGGGCAGGTCTACCAGCTGCTCCACAGGAGAGAGGTGGGCGATCTTGTCCCCGTGTGACTTACAGCCTCTGAACACTGGAGGCTCGGCGAGGAGTTGGTTCCGACTCAGTGGTAGATAACATGGTCAGTGTCACCATCAGGGGAGGTCCCCGCGCTGAAGGGGGACCCTCACCCAGGGGCAGTGAGAGCCCTTGGAGGGACAGAGTCAGACCCAGGGAAGATGCCCATGTGACCATAGAGAGATGTCCCAGCTGCAAGCCAGCAACTGCTGGGGCCCCAGAAGCCAGGAGAGGCTAGGAGGGACCCCCAGAGCCTTCAGAGGACGGCCCTGCATCACCCCGAATTCGGACAGCCAGCCCGCAGAGCTGTGAGTATGCGGGTGAGGACACTGCCTGTACAGGCGGGGGCACCCTGTTGGGCAGTCCTGGCCATTAGCTCTCCGCACGACCTCGCAGGACAGAACGGCTGGCACCCCATCCCCCGGGACAACCACTGTTCACCCACTGTAGTGCATGCTGCGCTGGAGAGGACCTGGAAGCTGGGCCAGGGGCCTCTTAATACCGGCAGTTGTCCATGGTGGGAGGGTTCCCGGAGCTGACATACGAGACGAGGCAGAGACCTGCTGATGGACCTGACAGACCGAGGGTGGAGGCCCCCCACGTGGCCGAGGACCAGACAGACCGAGGGTGGAGGCCCCCCCACACGGCCGATGACCGAGGACCGCACAGACTGGTCTCCTGTGGGGCCGAGAACTGGTGCCTGGAACAGCCTCCCACAGGCCGGAAGGCAGCAGCGCTGGGATGAGATGGTCTTTTTCTGCAATCTGGCCACAGGGTCACTACCAGCAGGCAGTGAGTGGACAGCACCTAACAAGAGCCGCAGCGAAGGTACTATCACCCCAGAGTCACCACTGGGCCTCCCCAGGAGGCAGGGGGACACCTGGCACTTGGCCCTTCCCGGGCAGGACAGCTGAGATGGCCTCACACAGAGCTTCCTGGACAACATAATTCACGAGGGAAAGTGCAGTGGGGGATGGGACTGGTAACTGCTCCCCAGAAGTGGACTTAGTGGTTGGTGCATGACTAGCATGCAGGCTTGTCATCCTCAGGTGTCCCTGCCCCTCGGCCCCTCCCAGGGCACTGGAGTGGGATGTCCACTGGGCTTATTCCACCCCCACCGCCTGCCAAGAATCTGCATTCTGCTCCCATCCCCACCCTCACCTTCAAATCCATTCCCCACGATGACCCCGCAGGAAAGAACAGAGGGGCCCAGAGGGAGTCTGTCCCTCACGGGGACCCTGTAGGACAGAACAGAGGGGCCCAGGGGGAGTCCATCCCCAGAGGGAGTCCGTACCCAGGGGGAGTCCGTCCCTCACAGGGACCATGCAGGACAGAACAGAGGGCCCCAGAGGGAGTCCATCCCCAGAGGGAGTCCGTCCCCAGGGGGAATCTGTCTGTCCCTCATGGGGACCCCACAGGACAGAAGAGAGGAGCCCAGGGG